CAAGTACCCTGCCCCAGCACCCATAAGCACCCTGTCCCCTTGCCCCAGCACTCATTGACACCCTTCCCCAGAACTCTGTCCCAGCACCCACAGGCACATTTGGGGCCACATTATTGAGGTTTGAGGGGTCTGGAGGGGTTGTGTTTTTTTATCTCACTTCTGTGGCCCTGACTGACTTTTCTGTGGACTAAAGTTGGCATTGGGGGCTTTGGGAAAACCAGAAACAATTTATTAGCATATTCATCATTTGCTTAATGAATATGCAAATATGTTACTGGTCCTCCAAAAGCTCATGAATGGATTTACTGGTCCCCAGTATCAAAAAGTTTGGGAATTCCTGCTCCAACCCAGCCCAGGTGTGCACAGGCAGAGGCACTCCAGCTGGCTAGAGCACCACCTGCCAGCCCCCCTTTAATTGGTTAACCAGTTAAATATTTGGTAAACCAGTTGACCAATTAAACAGGATTTTACATCCCTAGTCCGGCAATCTCCTCCATAAACATGAACTTAAAAAAAAAAATCACAAAGCATAGGTCATGTTCAACGTGCTGCCCAAGTTTTCCGAGGAAGAGGTATGTTGTTTCCCTCCCCCAACACCACCTAGAGATTTTTTTTTTCTGATCCTACACTGCCAAATGGGCATTCTGACATGACATCCACACAAGCCAAAAGGAACCAAAGTTTCTCCTGTGGGTGCTCTCAACTCTGTGTTTCTCATTAGCCTCTCCTAACCAGAAGGAAGTACCTTTTTGGAAGAGGAGGGGGGTGGGGGGGCGAGAGGAAGACGTTCCCTTACTGTTTGCCCTCTGAAAAAAAGAAACTAGCACATTCCATATAGAAGTCTTGCACAATGTCACTTCCCCCAAGCATAAATCCTCTTCTCTGGCAGAAAAAGCTTTAGTCCTATATTTGAGAGACAAGAGAAGCAAGGAGTCCAAGAAAAAAAAAGGAATTTGAAAATGTTATCAATTCTCCCACTGTTTCCTGAGTTTCTTATTCCCCTAAGGGAGATAAGTTGTCTGATTCAGACGAAGAGCTACATTAGTGTATTTGAGAAAGAATTTTTTCTCCTGTAGATCTTTCAGTATAATGTACAAAAGGATGACACATGACACATATTAGCTGACATAGAATGAACTCGGTTTCCTTTTGCTGTCAAAGTGCCAGAATGCTACTTCTGCTGTTGCAGGCAGGTTGTTTAATTAGAGCTCACTGAATGTCATAACAACTTGAGGTAAACACTTGACCCTAATGAAGTAAATGGGAATTTTGCCACTGACTTCAAATGGGCCAGGATTTCACTTTTGATTTTTTCAGAGGTACATGGTATCCAAAATTCTCACTGATATCAATAAAAGTTGTGGATGCTTCCTGTCAGTCTTTCAGGGCTGTGTGATCTACAACTTGATGAAAGACTTCCACCTGAGCAGAAATGAAAGGAAGGAAAAGCAAAACAGACTTTTTTTTTTTTTTTTTAACTACAAATCACCCCTCTAAATTAGAGCTACCTTTAATAAACTATGTTTTTCCGCTATTTTTTGTAGTTTAGCCTCTTCCTTTTGTTTGTCCAGATCTCGAAGCCACTTCTTCTGTTGTTCACACTTCATGGTACCAAAGGGGTCTTCCACTGGAGTAGCTTCCTGAAATAACAGATGCTGGTCTCTCACCTGTAGCAGAGTAATTGCCTGCTCTCCACTACTCTATCTGGCACAAAATAATAGATTTCATTTTCAATACAATCAGTCTCCAATTAATTATCCCATCAAGTTCTTCAGAACACTCACCATAAAATGCAGCTGTTGATAGACTCTCTAATCATCTTTATTTCTATTGATATCATCAACAATAGTTAAACTCTAGCAAATATGGAGAAATTAACTTCCTAATTTTCCTTCTTTTTTGCATTAGAAGCTTACAAATCAGGTGCTTTCTTTGAAGTCCACCCTATTAATGTCATCTCTAAAAATTTCTACTAAAAATGCATGATTTCATAGAAACACCTCATAACTTCAATAACCTCGTAAACACTGGATTCAGATGCAGCAATAAAAAAATTTGGAAAAGGCATGCTTAACTAAACTAATAGACACACTGTAAATTCATCTTAGAGACAAGATATTATATGCCTTACCCCTAACACAAATGCTGTATGAATGGCAGCTGGCAAGTCAGGAGAACTAAAACTAGAGGACTGTACAGTTGGACCACTTGATATATTGGGTACTACTTCACTAGCCTCCGTGACCAATGTGGTTCTAAAAATGTGGTTTTCCTCAGTAGCAACACTCAAATCAGCTGGATATGTCATCTGCAAATAACAGAGTATTATGGTGACTTAAAAAATATTCAATTTAACTTTTTTGGTTGGTTGTTTCAATATAAAAAACACATTTAAAATACTTCTAAATAAACTGTAACATGTACTTTAGGTTTATACAAGCTGCAGCTCATAGAAACTTCTAAAAATATCCAACAAGACAGGAAAAAAAAACCATGTCAAATCCCAAGATGAACAACTTTCAATTGATTCTGAATGCTACAAAGAAAGCAATAACTTGAGAATTCTGCTTAACAAAGTCCAATGAAATGGACAGAATGATACCCAGTCCATTCTGGTTATATTCCCAAGAGGCTGCCTGTATCACTTATTTATCAGGTTGCAAATATATTTTTAAACCTCCAGAAGACACGCTTCCTAAGTCAAGGCATATTAGGTACTAAATCTGTGAAATAAATTTATAAGTAGAGGATCCATCCTACTCAGTCTCTCTTACTACTGGTTTAGACATAGAGGGTCTACACTACAGCACTAATTCAAACTAACTTAATTCGAATTAGTTAATTTGAACTAAGCTAATGCGAACTAGTGCATCTAGACCTAAAAATAGTTCGAATTAGCGTTTTGCTAATTCGAACTAGCATGTCCACATTGAGTGGACCCTGAACCGAGGTTAAGGATGGCCGGAAGCAGTGCGTGCAGGGCATCAGATTAGGACTTGGAGCGTGGAGCTGCTGTCTCAGGCTAGCCGAGGGCTGTGCTTAAAGGGACCCAACCCCCACCCCGGACAGACAGTTCTCAGGGGTTCCCCGCTCACTTGTCTAACTCGATGAGGGACAGCAAAGCAGTCCTGGCTTGGAGTGCCCTGAATGCCCACACTGGGCACATCACAGCACTCAGCCATCAGCCCAGCTGCACTTGCCGCAGGCTGCCATCCGGGAGGGGGAGGTCAATCGGGGGGCAGCAGGAGAGCTTCCACCCCGAGGATCCCGCAGAGCCACCCCAGTCCTTCCCATCGGGGGCTCGTAACCCATTCCTCCCTCACCTCCTTCCACTTACCCCTCCCTAGCCCCCCTTCCTGATGTACAAAATAAAGGACACGTGTGTTCAAAAATGGAAACTCTCTTTATTGAGCAAAACTCGGAGAGACTGGGAAAAGGAAGTGGGAGAGGGGAAGAGAGAGGGTGGAAGAGGGGAGGGCAACTAAATTGATCAGGGGTTTGGAACATATGAAGAGAGGCTAAAGAGACTGGGACTTCTCAGCTTAGAAAAGAGGAGACTGAGGGGGGATATGATTGAGGTCTATAAAAGCACAAGCGGTGTGGAGAGGGTGCATAAAGAAAAGTTCTCATAATTAGTTCTCATAATAGAAGGACTAGAGGACACCAAATGAAATGAATGGGTAGCAGGCTTCAAACTAATAACAGAAAGTTCTTCTTCACAAAGCAAATAGTCAACCTGTAGAACTTCTTGCTGCAGGAGGCTGTGAAGGCTAGAACTATAACAGAGTTTAAAGAGAAGTGAGATAAAGTCATGGAGGCTGGGTCCATGGAGTGGAATTAGCCAGGGGATAGAAATGGTGTCCCTGGCCTCTGTTTGTGGAAGGCTGGAGATGGATGGCATGAGACGGATGGCTTGGTCATTGTCTTCGGTCCTTCCCCTCTGGGGTAGCTGGTGTTGGCCGCTCTCGGCAGACAGGCTAACGGGAGTTTAAAGAGAAGTGAGATAAAGTCATGGAGGCTGGGTCCATGGAGTGGAATTAGCCAGGGGATAGAAATGGTGTCCCTGGCCTCTGTTTGTGGAAGGCTGGAGATGGATGGCATGAGACGGATGGCTTGGTCATTGTCTTCGGTCCTTCCCCTCTGGGGTAGCTGGTGTTGGCCGCTCTCGGCAGACAGGCTAACGGGCTAGATGGACCTTTGGTCTGCCCGGGCTGGCAGCTATCCTGCCCTAAACGGCCACTTTCCTATGCCTAGTGCAGTGGTCATGGATGAGGTTCACTATGTCCTCACTAGACCAGGCGGGCGCCCGCCTCTTGCGGCCCCGGGCAGGCTCCGGGGAGCCGCCAGCCTGGTCCTGGGAAGAGGCAGAGGGCTGGGTGACAGCGGGTGGCTGACTCATCCCGTGCCAGGTGCAGGGTCTGCTGACTGGGTGCTGGCAGGCTTGCACCTGGCACGGGCACCGTAGCCAGACCATGCCCCTTTAAGGGCTCCAGGGCTGGGAGGGAGGCAGAAGAATTTCCCTGGTGGTGCCCAGAGGGGCCACCAGGGCAAGCTGGGGAGGGCTAGCCTCCCACTAGTTCAAATTAAGTGGCTACACAGCCCTTAATTCGAACTACTTAATTCAAACTAGGTGTTAGTCCCCAGCAGACCAGGGAGACGTGGAGCAAAGCCCGGGGCCTGTGGTAGAGCAGCTGGGGTGCTGCTGGGTTGGTTCAGTAGTGCCGAGGAGTGGCCGCACTACTGGACCAACCCAGCAGCACCCGAGCTGCTCTGCCCCAGGCGTCCCCAAGTTAGCCGCTGCTGAAACTGACCAGCGGCTGACTACAGGAAGCCTGAGGCAGAGGTGCTCTGCCCCGGGCTTCCTGGAATCAGCTGCAGATCAGTTTCAGCAGCAGCTGACTTGGGGATGCCTGGGGTTCTTAAGTTGAATCTGTATGTAAGTCGGAACTGGCATCCAGATTCAGCTGCTGCTGAAACTGATCAGTTTCAACAGCGGCTGAATCTGGACACCAGTTCCGACTTACATACAGATTCAACTTAAGAACCCCAGGCATCCCCAAGTCAGCTGCTGCTGAAACTGATCAGTTTCAACAGCGGCTGAATCTGGACACCAGTTCCGACTTACATACAGATTCAACTTAAGAACCCCAGGCATCCCCAAGTCAGCTGCTGCTGAAACTGATCAGTTTCAACAGCGGCTGAATCTGGACACCAGTTCCGACTTACATACAGATTCAACTTAAGAACCCCAGGCATCCCCAAGTCAGCTGCTGCTGAAACTGATCAGTTTCAACAGCGGCTGAATCTGGACACCAGTTCCGACTTACATACAGATTCAACTTAAGAACCCCAGGCATCCCCAAGTCAGCTGCTGCTGAAACTGATCAGTTTCAACAGCGGCTGAATCTGGACACCAGTTCCGACTTACATACAGATTCAACTTAAGAACCCCAGGCATCCCCAAGTCAGCTGCTGCTGAAACTGATCAGTTTCAACAGCGGCTGAATCTGGACACCAGTTCCGACTTACATACAGATTCAACTTAAGAACCCCAGGCATCCCCAAGTCAGCTGCTGCTGAAACTGATCAGTTTCAACAGCGGCTGAATCTGGACACCAGTTCCGACTTACATACAGATTCAACTTAAGAACCCCAGGCATCCCCAAGTCAGCTGCTGCTGAAACTGATCAGTTTCAACAGCGGCTGAATCTGGACACCAGTTCCGACTTACATACAGATTCAACTTAAGAACCCCAGGCATCCCCAAGTCAGCTGCTGCTGAAACTGATCAGTTTCAACAGCGGCTGAATCTGGACACCAGTTCCGACTTACATACAGATTCAACTTAAGAACCCCAGGCATCCCCAAGTCAGCTGCTGCTGAAACTGATCAGTTTCAACAGCGGCTGAATCTGGACACCAGTTCCGACTTACATACAGATTCAACTTAAGAACCCCAGGCATCCCCAAGTCAGCTGCTGCTGAAACTGATCAGTTTCAACAGCGGCTGAATCTGGACACCAGTTCCGACTTACATACAGATTCAACTTAAGAACCCCAGGCATCCCCAAGTCAGCTGCTGCTGAAACTGATCAGTTTCAACAGCGGCTGAATCTGGACACCAGTTCCGACTTACATACAGATTCAACTTAAGAACCCCAGGCATCCCCAAGTCAGCTGCTGCTGAAACTGATCAGTTTCAACAGCGGCTGAATCTGGACACCAGTTCCGACTTACATACAGATTCAACTTAAGAACCCCAGGCATCCCCAAGTCAGCTGCTGCTGAAACTGATCAGTTTCAACAGCGGCTGAATCTGGACACCAGTTCCGACTTACATACAGATTCAACTTAAGAACCCCAGGCATCCCCAAGTCAGCTGCTGCTGAAACTGATCAGTTTCAACAGCGGCTGAATCTGGACACCAGTTCCGACTTACATACAGATTCAACTTAAGAACCCCAGGCATCCCCAAGTCAGCTGCTGCTGAAACTGATCAGTTTCAACAGCGGCTGAATCTGGACACCAGTTCCGACTTACATACAGATTCAACTTAAGAACCCCAGGCATCCCCAAGTCAGCTGCTGCTGAAACTGATCAGTTTCAACAGCGGCTGAATCTGGACACCAGTTCCGACTTACATACAGATTCAACTTAAGAACCCCAGGCATCCCCAAGTCAGCTGCTGCTGAAACTGATCAGTTTCAACAGCGGCTGAATCTGGACACCAGTTCCGACTTACATACAGATTCAACTTAAGAACCCCAGGCATCCCCAAGTCAGCTGCTGCTGAAACTGATCAGTTTCAACAGCGGCTGAATCTGGACACCAGTTCCGACTTACATACAGATTCAACTTAAGAACCCCAGGCATCCCCAAGTCAGCTGCTGCTGAAACTGATCAGTTTCAACAGCGGCTGAATCTGGACACCAGTTCCGACTTACATACAGATTCAACTTAAGAACCCCAGGCATCCCCAAGTCAGCTGCTGCTGAAACTGATCAGTTTCAACAGCGGCTGAATCTGGACACCAGTTCCGACTTACATACAGATTCAACTTAAGAACCCCAGGCATCCCCAAGTCAGCTGCTGCTGAAACTGATCAGTTTCAACAGCGGCTGAATCTGGACACCAGTTCCGACTTACATACAGATTCAACTTAAGAACCCCAGGCATCCCCAAGTCAGCTGCTGCTGAAACTGATCAGTTTCAACAGCGGCTGAATCTGGACACCAGTTCCGACTTACATACAGATTCAACTTAAGAACCCCAGGCATCCCCAAGTCAGCTGCTGCTGAAACTGATCAGTTTCAACAGCGGCTGAATCTGGACACCAGTTCCGACTTACATACAGATTCAACTTAAGAACCCCAGGCATCCCCAAGTCAGCTGCTGCTGAAACTGATCAGTTTCAACAGCGGCTGAATCTGGACACCAGTTCCGACTTACATACAGATTCAACTTAAGAACCCCAGGCATCCCCAAGTCAGCTGCTGCTGAAACTGATCAGTTTCAACAGCGGCTGAATCTGGACACCAGTTCCGACTTACATACAGATTCAACTTAAGAACAAACCTACAGTCCCTATCTTGTAAGTAACCCGGGTCTGCCTGTACTGTTTTATTCCTATCAAACCAAAGAACAACGAGAGAGGAAAAATCAAATTAAGAATAAATGTTAGAAAGAAATGTCAGAATGAACATAGTACATAGGTAGGAATTAAAGATAGTTACAGTCTAAACAAAAAGTCACAAATTATTGGTTGTAGGCAAAGTATAAAGTTAAGAAGCTGGTTGCATGAATCTTGACATGAAGTTCTACATAGGCTTTTGGTGGCAGCACTGAAGGGGTCTGATGCAAGACACACAAGAGAGTAGACATGGAACCACTGGCCATGGAAGGGACTGAGCAAGGTGCAGGGAGGGTGCTCTGTGTTCCTGGAAGGGGTAGAGCCTCAAGCAGAAGGGGTAGGACAGCCAGTCAGCCCTCCCCAGTCCACCCTCTGAACATACGATGCAGGACTTCGGAGAGAGCTGTGCAGTGACAGCAACAGCCAGGAAGCCCTTTAGAATCGCTGTCCTCTAGAGTAATTGCTTCCCTTCCCCTTCTCCCCCCCCAGCTGGCAGGACTC